GGGTCTGAATCAATAGCAATCTCGTATAGGGAGCTTTGACCGGAATCACAGGTCTCTAGTAGGCAGCCGACAAGCGTGTTGTGCTGGGAGCTCACGCTAGCAGGTGGGGCTAGCGCCGATTCAACACGTGATCTTGAAGGTTCACGTGATGGCCCCATTCCAACAAGCTCCTTCATCTTCTTGAGGGTACTCATTCGGATAGAGAATAACAACTATGTGGCTGCAAAGAAAATCGACAAGAAAACATTCATCTAGGGGAGTTGGTTTCCCAACATATCGGTGGGGCGAAGCCTATTTCTTCCCGAGCGGCGGAGGACGAGTGTGTAAGTGTAATGGATCAATGACGGTAGAGATTTGGAGAGAAAGTGAGCCCTCGCCCAGTACGAAATCTTGAATTATGCTTTGGTACAAGGGCACGTGCACTATGAAGTCTAGAATTGAATTTCTGCTGCCGTAATTAACACGTACTTGCCTTTCATATGTTCTTTTGTTGGCATCGCTGAGGCTATGCTATACTATGTGCCGGCCTGATGGAAGGTACATAGATATTGGAATATCGTGTCCGCAGCAACGCGCTCGAAATCCAAGTAGGAAATCAAGGAAACTACCATCGATAAAATAAATCAAAGGCATTAACTATGCACAATCATGTCATATCGCAAGTAAATTCAAATGTTCATTGTATGCAGCTGTGGGCATGGGGTATTTTGGTTTCATCAAGGCATATCCAACAGAGCTTCCAATCTCTCATCAGAGCCTGGAAGTATGTAATCATAATGTTCAAGGACACCGCTGCTTCTTTTCTGCTGTGCAATCCGGCCTCCAACTCTGGCTACGAGCATGCGCATTTTCTCCAATTCTTGAACAAGTTCTCCATCCTTCGTAATAAGATTGGGTTGAATGTCATTTTTGGGATCCTTGAATGGCTCGACTAATCGTCGAAGATGTTGTAACTGATCAAGGCGTCGTTGCCGTTGCTGCCGTTGACTGTCGAGACTAGCGAGCCGCTCACGGAGCTCCCGGTACCTGTGCGACTGGTGTAAGGCAGGTGGAACTTCAATCGGAGAAAATCTGGATGCGGTGATAAACTGACCTTGTATGCTCCTCTCCGCTTGCTTCCTGGCTTTCCAAGGTGACAGGCATCTTTGTGATGTTGCTAACCCATATAGTCAGTGCTGTCATACCTTGTATAGAAATGGATGAAACCTTACATTTCCATTGATAAATCTGTTGTTTTTTCGATACCTCGAGCAAAAGCATCTCGACTTCGTGCCTCTTGGTTAACCGATGACCAGTACAAGTTTGCGATCTGTTGAGCGACATGGTGTATCGCTTGAGAGGAATAAACAACACGATTGTGCTGCTTAGCAGCCGCATTTACTATAGGACTATGAGTATCATATTCATAACGCATCTGGGTGCAAAGGAATAGATAATTGTTTTGTTTCAATTGTGATTCGTATTCTGACCTTTGTGTAGAACATCTTCGATCACCTTGTCACTCAGATCACCTTCGGTGGTTTCAGCAGCATAGTTTCGCCAGTCTTCAGGTAAATCGAGGCTCTCGGAGAAGATGCGGACTTGGCTCCAGATAAATGCAGATTTCAACTCGGATATAGTTCGAGTTGAATCCATTTCGAACACAGCCCAAATGGTGTTAGAGAAGTACCATTGCTGAGTCTCTAAAAGTCCCGCGATCTTCTGTGAGCGCGTCCTTATCGATAAGGCATCACGTGTCTCTCTACAAATGCAATTTTGCGAGATGGCCAAGACCGATTTGGGCAATAAACCACCATAAAATGAAGAAATGGATTAATGAATATGGATTGGATGATAGTTCAATTGTCCATAAATGGTCCGAGTAGGGTAACAATGGATTTTCCAGGTGTGGAGTATATCCTCGGTCTGGAGTGTATGTACCTCGGCAATCTGACCGTCTTTTAGGTCCAGATCGCCTTCAAAGTAATTCAATTTGTTGCGATTCCAAGGTCATCACAACTCATTTAGCTCACGAGTTAGAAATAAACTACGGCATATCTTGCAGTGACCTCTACTATCGCCAGCAGCCTCATTGTCATCTCAAGATGGCAGAGATCAAGCGACCGGTGGGCCTACTGTTTGACATTGGAGGAGTGTGTGTAAGTCAGCCACTTGACTCGGAAGTTGAGGATATATAGATCTGACAAAGATTTAGGTTGTATCTCCATTCCAGGCTATTCTTGACTACGAAATTGCCCAAAACATCCCACCAGGATGGGTCAATTTCAGTATCTCGCGAACGGCGCCGAATGGTAGCTGGCACAAGCTCGAACGAGGTGACATCAAGATGGACGCCGAATTCTTTGCGGGGTTCAATGCGGACCTAAGAAGCCCCGAACTTTGGACACAATTCCACCAACAACTTCAAAAGAAGCAAGGCACAGATGGTTCCACCATCCCTCCACTGCCGATAGTGGATGCAGAATGGTTATTCTGGGAGATGATGCGGATATCTCGCACACCAGACCGATATATGTACCCAGCTCTGAAGAAATTGAAAGATTCGGGACAATTCCTGATGGGCGCTCTATCCAATACTGTTATATTTCCCGACGGACATGAATACAATAATGCATCCGATGTCAAGAAGCAATTCGATTTCTTTATCTCGTCTGCGCACACTGGCCTCCGCAAACCCGACCCAAAAATCTACCAGGTGGCGTTACAGGAGATGGACACTTTAGCTAAGAGGCGAGGATTGGCCGGATCCAATCCCGACGATGTTGTGTTCTTCGATGACATTGGCGAGAACTTGAAGGGGGCGAAGAAGGCTGGCATGCGTACGGTCAAAGTGACACTTGGAAAGACCCAAGATGCGGTTAGGGAACTAGAGAAGATCACAGGTCTTCAGTTGCTGGACGAGGACAAGGCCCGACTGTGAGGCGTTATACATAGAACATTGATTATTTCGAGAACAAGATCGGGATTATATGTAGAAAGGATGGAGAATAAGAATTCCATAACATTTTCTTAATTTTCCCAATTTTCTTTGAATTTCTTGTCGAATTTCCTGTTTGTTCCATAGTTAAGAAAGTTGATGTTCCCACTCGTCGCCGACCTCATTTTCTGGCGGGGGATGCAGCCACGCGCTAAGCGAAATCCCGCACAAAGTCGACCCACGAAATTTCTCACTTCCTCTTCTTCGTCCATCTCCAGCGCCCCTCGACACCCCGTCAAAATGGTGAGTTCGACTGATGGCTGAAAAGTCATTATGCATTCCTTTTGCATTTTATTTCCTCTCCGATTCCTATCGGAGCCGGGTCCCTGCAAGTTGCTTCGGCGTAATTTCTGAAGCGTTAATTGCTGACTCGCGATCTCGCTTTACAGCCTTTCACCAAGACCGTCAAGTCCAACGCCTACTTCAGGTGAGTTAAATCCTTTGTTGATAATCTCTCCTTGAGATCGCTGTTTACTGACTTTTCCAATTATAGTCGCTTCCAGACTAAGTACCGTCGCCGCCGCGAGGGTAAGACCGACTACTATGCTCGCAAGCGCCTGATCACCCAGGCCAAGAACAAGTACAACGCGCCCAAGTACCGCATGGTTGTTCGCTTCACCAACCGCGACATCATCACCCAGATCGTCTACTCTGAGGTCACCGGTGACAAGGTTTTCGCCTCTGCCTACGCTCACGAGCTCCCCAAGTACGGCATTGACCAGGGTCTTACCAACTGGGCTGCCGCCTACGCCACCGGTCTTCTCCTTGCCCGTCGTGTCCTCAAGAAGCTCAACCTTGACGAGCAGTTCAAGGGTGTCGAGGAGGCTACCGGTGAGCACACTCTCACCGAGGCCATCGAGACCGACGATGGCGAGCGCCGCCCCTTCAAGGCCTTCCTCGATGTTGGTCTTGTCCGTACCTCCACCGGTAACCGTGTCTTCGCTGCCATGAAGGGTGCCTCCGACGGTGGTATCTTCATCCCCCACTCCGACCGCCGTTTCCCCGGTTACGACATCGAGTCCGAGGAGCTCGACGCCGAGACCCTCAAGAACTACATCCACGGTTCCCACGTCTCCGAGTACATGGAGACCCTCGCCGATGAGGATGAGGAGCGCTACAAGTCCCAGTTCATCAAGTACATTGAGAACGAGATTGACGCTGGTGACCTCGAGGAGATCTACGCCGATGCCCACAAGGCCATCCGTGAGGATCCCTTCAAGGCCGATGAGGATGCTGGTCCCAAGAAGACCAAGGAGGAGTGGAAGGCCGAGTCCAAGAAGTACAAGGTCAACCGCCTCACCCACGCCGAGCGCAAGGCTCGCGTCGAGGAGAAGATCCGCAAGCTTGCTGCTTAAGCGTCTCGCTTCCTATCTTTCTGACCAAAAGTTCCTACCAATATTCCCAATTGAGGGAACAGGCTACTGCCGGCGTTTTATGTGATGTAGTTTTTGACGGATCATGGCACATACCACTTTTTATTTTACTTATCGGAAGGGGTCTTTTTTTCCTGGGAGCAATTAGTTCGGTGTTCATCTAAGGCAATTTTCTTTACTCTGTTCTAACTGCTCCCCCAATGTCCATCTGTCTTGTTCCCTCATTTGCCTCCTTGCATCTGCCCGTAGCTGGGATCTATAATGCGTAGTTCAATCTTTATGATGGTATGATTATATGATTTATTAGGTAAGTGCATCATGCCATTGGAATTGGACTTGTGGAGATAAAAGTACCTAGCCTACGAAGTATTAAAATTAGATCGACGCCATGCACAAGCGCCAATGTGATAAGTGGCCCCCAACCCCAGGAGTGCATTGCCAGCACAGCAACTTGGTGGCTGATCAGGAAGGATGCTCAAAAAAAAAGAAAAAGAAAAAAGAAAAAAGCTAGATAGTTCCATTATTCGCTATCAATCCCCGCTTTAAAAAAGCTGTTTGGTCCCCGAAAAGGCGAAAAAGCAATTATTTCATCCCTTGTATATATATATCTCCCACCTACATAGTGTATATCCACACATCACCCATCCATCATGAGAAGATATCAGCAACATACACACGCAAGCTGGCACCGCGCCTACGCAGACAAATTCGATTGCCCTTGGTGCCAAACCCCTCACCGGGCAGAAACGCCTCAGTACCAGAACCACAACACCCGCAAGCAGTCCACAAAGGGCTCAGACAATGGCAGAACAAGCAGAGCCAATGCTACATCGACACCAATCGGACGTCGGATAGCTCACGAGAGCTCCGACATTGCTGTCGAAGACCAATCCGCCGATACCCCGCTCGAGCCCCAGACGCCAGATCCAGCTCCGGACGCGAACGAGGAAGAGACCCCGGGGCCGGAATCCGATTCAAATTACGCGCGATACAATATGGGACGAACTGCGAGGCCTGAGGGCTTGAATACCGCGTTCGCGCCAGATACACTGCGCCCGCCGCTTCCCGAGGAGTGGACGAAGGATGTCGAGGAGCAGGAACACGGGTAGGGATCTTTAATTGATGGTTTTGGTTTCCGCTGGTTCGTGCTTGTGCTGACGGGGTGTTTTCGATAGTGCTCCGGAATGGAGCCCACCAGCTGTGGAAGATTGGCGCTCTGGGCTAGATACGCCTCGGGAGTTTCGAATTCCCGGTGACGAAAAAATTGGCTCTCCAGAGTTGAATGTGAGGGAGTTAGAGGAGTCTTGAGAAAGACTTGATTGAAATAGATCGTGTCAAAATATTCATGTTAAACTACAGATATCAGGATTTCGCTTTGCTCAACTTTCTACAATGAACATAGTATTCCATCGATCCGTTCTGATTCCCATCACCCTCGCTTGACCTATCGTCATTAACGTTTTGTTCTGACTCACCATCTTCCAACCTTCCCCCGGCTTCAAGGGTAGCCCTGCATCTTGCAAGGTAGCGGCTCTTCTTGGCAAGCGCTTCATCACATCGCTTGCGGAGGCTCCTGGTTTGGCTATCATTTCTCGGCAGTTGAGCTACCAGAGATTTGGCCTTGTCTCCATAGGCTTTCGCTTCGGCTTCTATAAGCAGCAGTACCATTTCAGACTCGGGTGTTGATTGCTCCGACTCGTCGTTATCCTGGACCAGAGGTCAGTGAAGTCGTTGACTCCTCAAAGTCGGTGAGAGGCATTGTTATACTGCGCTCCACTGCTTCAAGGGCTTCTTTGCATTCTTCGCTCGATCCCTGGCGTAGGATAGCTTTACTCTCGTCTCGCCTATTGAGTAACTCTTGTACCCTGTCTAGCAAGGTGAGTCCTGGTCGATATCTGGTTGTGGGGATTGAGGCTGAGGTCGGGCTTCTGTCTGCACCCTCTCTAGCACGCGGAGTCCTTCGGCAATATCTACTTGCTGAGGCTGAGGTCGAGATTGAGGTTGAGATTCAAGTTCTGTTTTCCTAGCACGAGTTGGGTGTGCATACCAAGCCTTGTCACGAGCACTCCGCCTGTCTGCACCCATAATCTGTGCCTTGCGAAAACCATCGGGTTTGCCCCGGAAAGACCCGTACTTCCTTTTGTAGGCACGAAACAACCCCTGATGATGACCGATCCTTCGCGGGTTGCCAGTCATCTCTGCATTCTCATAATTGTGGTCAAGCCCCACCGGCTCAAAGCATGGATCGGGATATTCCTTAAGCTGCTCTATATATTCTTCTGTTTTTTCAAGTTCCCATTCTAATTGTGTTCGACTGTAATCCAATGTTAGGAGAAGAAAAGGGCCATCTTCGCCCACAATGCGAGATACTAGAGATTGGCGGTTTGCTAATCACCTTTCATCTCGGCTTTTTTGGCTTCTCCTCCGAAGTCTTTGTTGGCTTGTATGAGACTTTCGCGAGCTATGTCTAAGGCCGCGAGGAGAGGTTCGAGGATTGTCTTGTCTGGGATCTGAAGTAGTAGAGACTTGGCTTTATCAAAATCATGTCGCTCTTTTGCTTCGTTGCTCTTCGTTATAAGAGATTGCACAGAGGCCCCTGTGGACCAAGGTTGTGTGTGTGTGTGTGTGCGCGAAGAGCTAGCCGGGTCGGTATGTCGGGGTCGCGAGGCAGCATGTGCAGGTGAATCATCTATTGACAAGATGTTAGTAAGTCTCAGTAATACTGCACGACAATGATATAACATATGAGAAACCGAGGTCTTTGAGAGACTTCCCCCTAACACAGGTTTATGATCGCAGACTAGAGAACTGCATCATTTCTCCATTAAAACCTTCTGCTGTTCTTTTTATAGTTCTTGCTATTTATAACCTTGTATAATCTTAAAAATAATACTCAATATCCTCAAAAAATCTTTTCTAGAAAACCAGTGTGTTGCTCAAACATACAGACGTAGTTGTACAGGAGTTTGTCGTCCTCTTCGATGGCACCCTTGACCGACTGGCCAACAATGACATCCTGTCCCAGGCTCATACCATCGGTGAAATCAGTTTTATGGACCGGAAACGTATCAAGATTAACCTACCCTTGGAAATTAGGGAGTTAGCAACTTCTGGTTGCTTTTGACTAGGTCGATATAGTGTAGAAGTATGATTCCACGCTCCCGGTATATAAAAATGTACTGCTTACTAGGTGAAGATTTAAACTCTGATCGATGTAGTTTAACTCCTAGTCTAAATAATATACTTAGTGACTAGAAGTTTTAGGGTCGATTGTGGCAGCCCAACTCGATTCAGTTGAAATTATCAGGAACTTGCTTATAGCAGGGTTATTGTAAGGTGTTTCTATGTACATAGTTTGCCATAATGTCTCCTCACTCTTAGTATGAGAAGGCTTTTTTTTATCGTCCTGGCAACCATAGATATCTGGCTAAGGACAGGAAAGGTATTTATAGTATGGATTCCGTACGACAAATAATTGTATCGAATGATATGGTGTGCCAATCGCCAATCTCAGTTAGTCCAGCCAAGAAAATAGCACGTTGTAAAAGGCTTTGGGGTCCTGGAGGAAGGGCGCATGGCCTAGACCGGGGAACATGTGGAACGTGGAGTTGGGGATCATGGCTGCGGCAGCAGGGCCGAGTTCAGAATAATGGCCCAGCTTCGCAGCAACGGCAGGGGATGACCATGCTTTACCAAGCGCTGTAATGTCGTTCTCTCCTACCATAAGGTAGGTACGTGTCTGCAGGAGAGGCAGCTGGTAGATGATAGGCTGGCTGAGCAAGGCGTCGGTGACGAGGGACATCACGTACGAATACTCGGAGCCATAGTCGCCGGCATAGATGTCGGCTAGCATGTGGACCCAGGTATCATACTCAGGCTTCCAGGGGGCACCGTGGAAGTAGCTGGCCTGCTCATACCCCTTGAGAGTGGTAAAGTTCTGCACAACCTGGCTCTCGTAGGTTGCGTCGATTGATAAATAGGGCACACCCTTGGCTACCCAGTCCTCCAGACCCAGGGGATCGACAAGGACAAGCTGTTGAACGTTGGCCGGGTACATGAGGCCGTAGCGGGCGGCAATCATGCCGCCCATCGAATGGCCAATCACGGTGACTTGATCGATGCCTAGCGCAGTGAGCAGACTGTGGATGTTCAACGCTTGCTGTTGTACATTGTAAGAATAGCCCTGGGGCTTGCTCGATTTGCAGAAGCCGATGTCGTCGGGCAGGATGACTCGGTATCCGGAGGCCGACAGGTGTCGCGCCGTATCGGACCATGTGACGCCGCAGAAGTTCCCGCCGTGCAACAAGATCGCTGTCTTTTTATTCTTGTTTTGTTTCTTTGGCGGTATGTCCATGAACGCCATTGTAAGATTTTGGCGCTGATTGGAGAAGTTGAACAGCTTCACCGGCCAAGGGTAGGGGTAGCTGGATCCGTATAGGTCGGTTGGCACATGGCCATCATAGATGGTGCCAATCGGGTCAGGGTCGGACTGCGCGGAGACAACGGCCACAAAAGATAGCACCGCTGACAAGGTGCTGAAGGCGGAGAAGATCTTCATGGTGCAGGTGTCGTTGCTTGCAAAAGAACCAAGTTCTCTTAGTGACTGTAGTGACTCGCGTTTAAATCGGTGACTCTCTATCAATCGTGTAAGAGAAAGGAGAATTATTCGTCTCCTGATAGAAACATATATATACCAGCTTGAGAATTATTTTAGTGTAAAATCAAGGCGGATACCAGTGTCGCACCAGAGCCAGGGGCACAGATGCGTTGCTACCTTGAGCTATATGTGGTTAGTTATCTAGGGGCTGATTACTCCGTACTCCGTACGGGGTACAGCCTTTCCTGTTTCGCTTTTCGATCGGAAGCATACGGGCTTTTTAATTTTTCATTTGCAGATGTTTTTAATCAACTGCAATTTCGCTAGCACGTACTTAGTGTAGTCAGGCACCAGGGGCGGGGAGCTCGGCACTGTGCGGAGTAATCCCCCAGTTCACCTAGGCCCTTTCGAGGGATTCTGGCCTCTCAAGCAATCCAAGAGGTAATTCCCTTGATAATATTTGGTGTTTAGTGGCTTGGTATGTGCATGTTACTTGATTGACGTCAATCGACTGTTCAATTCTGAGTTGGCCCCCAACAATTCCCAAACTAGCGCCTTTAACGCCATGCAGCGTGAAATTAATAACGTACACCTTTTGCAACCTCCTAGCCTTTTTTACCTCTTTTTTTTTACAAGGGTCTCGGATAAAACGGGTGAATGCCCCGATTAGGTCGCGCTAGAGGGCGAAGACTTCCGCGTATAAGACCATTGTCAGTGTCGATGTAACTCTACTGCATAAGACGCTAACACGCTATTCCGCCGGTAATGCGGTAATCCAATGATGCATGGAAGAGCAATGAAAAAAAAAATGAAGGCTACATCACTACTGATACAGCCTTGCTCTTAGAACATATGTATCGACCTTCGCCTCAATCAGTTCTATAAGGTCATATGTACTATCTACCTTCAGGCGACCTCTAGCAATTTGCTATGTCTAAAAATACTCCAGGGCCAAGCAGGGCTTTTGAGATCCAAGTGCCATGTATCGTCTTCCTCGTCACCACGCCGGCCTTTGTGGCGATCCGACTGTGGTCCCGAACCAAGTCTAAGTCGGGTTTGGGCTTGGACGACTGGACCATTTTGGTGTCTTCCGTGAGCTCTTCATGCGTGAGATTGAGCTCTCTCATGTAGACCTAACACTTCTATTAACAGGTTTTTGCGGTTATTGTCATGGCCTTCATGCTGGCGGCCTGCACCTATGGCTTTGGCCAACACATTGCGAATATCACAACACCGCACAGGTTAATGACGATGAAGGTACGTTGAGAATCGTCCTCGCTGCAGTCATTTACGTCTATGTGGTGGCTACGGAGCGCTAGCTTTTAAGTCTGTATGGGCTGCTAAACTTTAGTCCTGCCAGCTCTTCTTCGTTAGTCAAGCTTTCTACAAGCTCACCATGAATATGACAAAGATGTCCATTCTGATGCTATATCTACGCATTTTCATCCAACGTTGGTTTCGCATCACCTGTTATGTGCTCTTGATCATCATCACCTCCTATATGGTGGGCGCCTTCTTCGCCTCTGTATTCCAATGCACACCAGTTGCCCGAGCCTGGAACAAGGCCATTCCAGGATCATGCATTGACATAACCACCAACTGGTACGCCAACGCCGGCTTTTCGATTGCCACCGACATTATAATATTGACGCTGCCGATGTATCCGCTCTACAAGTCGAAGATTATATTGAAACGGAAAATCGCCCTGATGATTGTGTTTGCCCTTGGTGCCTTGTGAGTCCTAGATACCTGGGTGCCGCAGCCGAAGGCATCAACCCAAGACTGACTGGAAATTTCAAGTGTCGTCGTTACCAGCATTGTCCGAATGCAGACCCTGGACTTCTCGTCCACCAGTCCTGACCCTACCTGTAAGTGTCCTCATAGCCTCTCCGAGTTACTCCGGCTCAGGCACTTACGAGATACCTCTACAGACGATATCGCCTCCTCAATGTGGACGATGCTTGAAGAAAACGTGGCGATCACCTGTGCCTGCCTACCAATGATGTGGATGCCACTTGCTAGGCTCTTTCCCTCCTTCTTTTCCTTAAATGGTGGGACCGACAGCTACGGAAGCTCGGGTGCCAGGAGCTCGGAACTTAAGGCCACCGCGCGGCCTCGAAGCAACTGGTCCCCGCTTAATGCGTACCCTGATACCCAGAGCAGTATTGGCATGAACCACACTGGCGATTCCCGAAACCGACCCTCAGAGGATATCACGGGCCAGATCTTCCCGTCTGGCCCGAGTGGCGCAGCTCAGTATCAAAATGCAATGGGTATCACGATGGTCACAGAATATCGTGTCTCTTTTTCTAACGCGAACCCGCCTTCGAGGCGAATAGATGTCTAGGTATGCGAATCCTGATATTTTTTTATCTTACTCTAATACAATCACTACAGAATTAGCCTATTCAGACCAACTGAGTGGAATATATAGTAGGGGTGCGGGTTGAAAGGTTGTCGTTTCTAGTATCGTTAGCCGCCAATCTAACGGGGTAATAATATATATAAGAAGTTCCATTATAATCCGACGCGACCGTGGCAAACTATCAAGGCAGTACTATGTCGAAGTAGGCAGAGACAATCATAGCATAAAAGCTCCCCCGTTAGACCCAATCAAATCGCCATTGACCCACCGAGAACCTTCTCCCGATAGCCAGCAGACCACATCAGCAACGTCACGAGGTGACCCAAGTCTTCGCTCTGCGGTAGCAAGCCCTTTAGCAGCGGTCCTCGCCTCACTATCGGGAGCGTCAGGTGTCGCTGTGGGTCCCACCAAGACGGCGTTACAAGTGAGATGATACTTGACGCCAAGTTCTCGAGCCCAAGTACGAGTCAAAGACTCCAAAGCGGCCTTGCTTGCTGCATAAACGCCATATCCGGGGAAATTCAATCTAGAACCAATTGAGGAACTGAAAAGAGTGTTAATGGTTGAGAATGCAGGAAGGTGATGGGCCGAGACTGCTTACATGTTGATGATTCTGTTCCCCTGCGATCCCAGGTGCGGAAGCAACGCCTGGACCAAAAGGATAGGAGCCCGTACGTTGATGTGCATGATCCTAGTCTCGTAAGCAATCTTCCGGTTCTCCCCAGAAGCCGTGAATAGAATAGCTTACTTTTCAAATTCATCTTGGTCCAACGATTCTTCAACGCTGGCGGGTGTTTGAGCAATAGCTGCATTATTAATCAAGAGTTCGATAGTTTTAACCCCAAGGCCTTGAAGAGCCTGTCTGACAATTGCTTCTCCACAGGTCCCCGATGATAGATCAGCTTGAATGGCGCAGCATTTCCGGCCTTGGGTTGTGAACTCGTCAACCATTTCGAGCGCTGTTGACCTGGAATTACTTGAAACGTAAACCAAAGCAACATTTGCCCCGAGACTGGTAAGCTGTCGGGCAATTTCCTGCCCTATTCCACGGGTAGCCCCAGTAACGATGGCAGACTTCGCTACCAGTGGTAGATTCGATGGGCTCTGTGTAAAATCAGACATGTCTCTATAGAAACAAAGAATTATGCTTATATAGTAAACGTAAACCAATGTAGTCGATATAAAATTTGAACAGGATAAACCACGTTTTTATGTTCTTATTATGATTTCCTATAAGCTTGAACGGATCGGAAATAGTGGTACCCGCCATCCGAAAAGGTGACTCTGGGGCCATCTCGGAACCTAGTGATACCGCCTTCCGTACTACGAGATTGATAATCCACAGAAATATGTACGATATTGTATGTGGCAGAGGAAATTAAGCACGTAGGTAGCTGTAGGTAACATATCCTCTGCCGGGTGGGGCTTTCCTATCTTAGCTGTCCCCGCTTTTACGAGGGCGCTCAGAGTCAGCCTCACTAAGTTCCAGTCCGGGCTCAGCCTCAGTGAGCTGCTCAAATACATCACGTGATAAAACCGTGAGTTGCCATGAGCACCTAGCTGACGGGGGTTACTAGGGTACCCCACTTTAAATTGGCTAGTATGATTATATATTTATTATTACTTTTTTGGTTACCTTTTTCAGATTTATTAACGTACCTACCCCCCTATCTCTTTATCATCACTAGTTATAACTATAGAGAGAGAATAGGTTAACGATTATTAATATACTTCTAACTAGTATGTCTTATAAATCGGATAAACTCTAACTATATTCTTTATCAAACCTCTATTTAGTAATATTCGATATCCTTCGTATTGAAATGGTACTAGAGTATAAGGCAATTTATTTACGGCTCTTCCATGTGGAGAGTAGCGTAGTTTCGGGTAAGGGCCGAGAAACAACGCGGAATCTGTTTTCGACTTTCACTAGACAGGTAAATGTCATAAAATCGACCCTGAGCACATGGTGCGCCCTCGTGCAATAATAGTGTATTCAGTTAACAGACAAATTGTTACAGCCATGCTAGATACAGGCGTATAGACCAGACGTAGCTCGGGAATGCTTAACAGTTAACGTGATGTATTATTCAGTGCCCCAGTTTATATTTATATCTAATGTTTTCCGTTCAAAACATTGTTCGCCGCATGGCAGGGGAGAATGGAAGCCATCGGTGGTCAGAATTTATTTACGACCGTTGAAATGTTTGCATATCTATTGAGTATTGTTAGGTAAATTTTTCGATTTTTCGATAAGGTCATAAATCTTCGCCAATGCTCACCATTATGATGTTCCTTTATACCTTGCCCAGCGTATCTGCCCGGTGGAAAATTGTATTCGTCAAACATATCCTCCTTGGCAGCCAGAAGGGGTCCCCATTTTACTTGAACGTCCTTTATGTGCTTTTTGAGACGTGACATAGCATTGGGATGTGGTGACTCCTCGATCATATCGAGGATATTGATATAAGCAGTATTCTTTTTACTCATTCTGCGGTGAGGAGGGATTTCGAGAAATCGTAAGGTAGGAAGCGTTGAAATGTGTGAGGATGGACTTGTATTGACTGGCGTTATCTGCTCTTCTAAAATGAATTGCTGCCAATCTTTTCATTTATGTTTTAAAGCACGGTAAACTGCGAACATCCTTTGGGGGTGCATATTTGGGGGGAAAAGGGTTCCCCTCACCAGAGCCCCAGGCGAAATATCTCCGTCTGGATATCGAGTCAATATAATCAACTTTCTGACCTTCCATGCTATGCTTTAGTTATGAATTCAGAAGAGGATTGCATCAAAATGGGTTATTCTTGCCGGATTCCGAGCGCCATGGTGACGTCAAGTCCTCGCACTGGTAGTACTACTTAATACGGGTTAGTTAGAGATACACTTCGCAAAAGGCCAACCTTTGTTGTCACTAGCGTATGGGCCGTATGGGGCGGTTGTGCTGTGTTTTTGACCCCTCACGAGGGGAAAAAAAAAGTCCCCGCACGAATCCGTACACAACCACAGTCACTCTTGAAGTGCGCAGCACAAGTTTTCCGACGGCAAAGTCTCGGTGATAAATTGGCGTCATCCATGGATTTTGGCCCGCACTTTTAAGTTTCATTGGATTTTGCTCGTAGACTATCAGCACTTGATCCAAGCCACAAAATTCTTCATGTTCCGTCTGCCCCAAGCAAACGAAATAAGGCTGAAGAACGATCATAAAGCGAGAAAAGAAAGTATTGACTGGAAATCCAGACTGTGACTGCTCCGTAATGAAAACCCTGAAATGCCTATATTCCGTTTCAATACGTATCCTGACCCAGCATATTAAATCTGAGGGACTGCGCAGTTGAATAATTTACGTCTTTTTTCCGGCCATATATCATTATTCATATCACTTGGGAGATTCTCGCTCGTTCTGTTTACGAATAATTATCCTTATTACGCATACCGCTTGAAAGCTAGTGATTTATTGTCACTCGGCAAATAATTCAATTAAAAAACATACGAGCTATGAATGTCACCTTGTAGGAACATACCATAAATGGAGGAAAAGCAAAACTAGATCCGAAACGATGTATAACCGAGAGGACCCCTTGCCAAAAGTATACCGTATAGTAGCTACATTCTAACTCTAGCACTGACATGCAACTGTACACGGTCTTCAACAGCCTCATGGTACGGAATTCATTTTCCAGCAGTTTTCCGCCACTGAAACCAGACACCAATGGAGGCACTTAGTGTACCGGCTATACCAACAACTCCGTCATCAAGGTTGGCAAGTCCGAGGGCCGCAGTAGGTATGGCGAAATCACAGAGGTTCGAGATTAATTGAACAATAGTGGTGAATCGCTCCCTTTGAAAAAGAAATAGTCAGCATTAGGGTCCGAAAAAATTGGTCAGCCAGCGAACGAACCTGTCAATTCTTCTTGCCTCGAGAGCTCCCTTGCCCACTTTCAGATCGAGTGTCTTCTGCTTCTGCTGTAGCTTCCATAACGAGTATATGCCAGCACCAACACTGCAAGTCAGCCCAGCCATCCAAGCACGGTAGCCGGAATTTTGAACACTCTTGATGTTGGCCATCTTCCGAACTCCAATGGAATCTATGACAGTGAAAGTGTCGAGGGCAAGGTAAGCGCCATAGCCAAGATGATGGCCGACGGTGAGGTAGCGAAGCACAGGATCCACAGGACTCTTCCTATTTAATGCAATGGAAGCGGCGTGGAACTTCTCGATGAAGCTTCCAATTCGCAAGACCTTGCGTGTTATTTCGAGTTGCTTCTTTATTGCATTGATAGGGTCAACGGCGGACTGCGGGCGATTGGCGCGGTGAAGATACCAGCTATAGAAGCGCGAGAAGTATTGTAGTGTACGCAGAATCTTGTCGCGACCCGCTAGAAATTTGTCAGGAGCTGTTGTTCAATGGACCGCTCGCCAGGTCAAGGAAAATCGTAAGAGATTCCTATCTGGATCAGATATGGCTGAATTGACGGCGGTACACCTCAATGCCGTCGTATAGAATGCAATAAAGAAATATCTACGTACCTGTTGTTGCAATAAAAGTCAAAAGGTGAGACAAAGTAGAGTGGTTAGGTAGCGCAGCTGTGGCCATTTCTGTGGTTTGAAAGTGGTCCCGACGTCAAATCAATTGCTTGTAGGGATGAATCAAGAGAGTGTCGGAAACCAAGTGAAATTGAAGATAAATAGTAGATACATACAAAAGCTTAATTTCCTAGGGAGTTTCATGGTGGTTGCTCGGGACCGAGCGAAATCCGATTCATCGGTAAGCCGGCAACTCTAGAATCTACGGATGTCCCGCCCCCTGGCAGATGCCCGCATTAAGCACAGAATAAAAAATAATTTGGAGATCTCCAAATATGAAAATTTTCTTTTTCCTATCTGTAAGGCAGGAAGAACGGAAAGATAAGAAAATAAAGTACCCAACAATCTAAGACAATTTTCGGCCAGACCTGAGAATTTATCCTCCCACGAAGACCCATCTTTCTTGTTTTATATCGATTCGATAGTCATGGCGCCGTGTGGAACAAAGTCCGCATCAAAAGCTGAGGCAAAGTTTAATAGTGCCCGCAAGAGGGTATTGGCATGTGATCGGTGCCGCGCGAAGAAATCCAAGGTTTGCGGGAAAACTTGCGGTGTGCAAGTAAATGCTCACATAACTAGATGTACTGACTTTTGAAAAGTGTGATGGAGCTATTCCTTGTTCTCGATGTGAAATGAAGAATGCTGTATGCATCAACCGAAGGCAAAATAAAACCAATAACAGGGTGCGATTCAAGGAGTACGTAAGCTCTTACGCCAGAAGCAAACATCTAGTCATCTGGCTGACGACTAAAGGTTCAACAGATACGTTGGGAATATTGAGCAACACCAAGCATTGTTGAATAACCGTCAGCCGTACACAGACGATATGGACTCTGAATCAAGTGTCCTCTCAGAGATAAACAATCAAAGCACTGAACAATACAGCGGAGTCGATAGCATGCTGACGCCGGAATCATGCCTTCTTACCCCTGACTGCCCCCAATCACCCCTGATGCCCTTGCCATTCTTGTCAAATCCTCTCAATGACAGCCAGCTTGATCACAACCCCTCATTACCAAGCCCCACAGCCTTCGAATCTTATTTTGAACGTCTCACTTGGGAAGCTTGCGATCTTCGTCAAATAGATGGCATAGTGCAGGACTCCATTGGCCCCCTAATACTGCATACATTAGAGAACCGGCCTACCGAAGGGTTCTCCCCAGTCTATGAGGAGAATGCGGTGATATATAATGAAAGTCCCTTCTCTGAGGACCCGGACCTCCTGCTGTCTGCCTTGAATGCTCATATTTTTATGGGATACGCCTCCTTGGATATGGGCCTGGACTCGAAGAATGACGATACTCGTTGATATATCGCAGCAATGATAAAATCTCAACATATTGATCTGTAGGGTTCGCTCGTCGATTGATTCGATGGCTAGATTAAGCATAAAGCATGCAGATCAACCCCTAAAAAAAAGTTTCAAATATGACTTCATCGCGGGTGACACGCCGATGTCGCCAACTTGTGGATTCTCTTGAGACATGTGGGTAGAGTAATTAGATCCACATATCCCCCCAAGTCATTCTGTCCAGTGATCCCAATACATTCGCACATTTATCCCCCTCCTTACTTACCCTCCAAGAGGTTACGAGGCCCTTCCTCTTAACTCAGAGTACCCAGTTTAATATGAAGTTGACGGAATTGATGGTGCATAGTTCGCTTATTTGTGGATAAAGTTAGCGCAACGGCCCGTCCCGCACAGCATGCAGTCCCCACCCTTTCACAAATAATCCATCCTATGACTCGTCACACTAGCGAATTTTTATTGGCCAAAGTGCAACTTGCTCCAGAGTTATCACAAGTTGTCAATCTTCATATAGTTTACGAAAGACCCATCACACCTGAAATCCCGTTCCTGCAACCCGGCAATGGAACTTGGTGGGAAGATCCCGAAGCGGCTAAACACTAGTATGTTTTTGATAATTATCCGGCAAGATAACCGACCTTAATGAAGATGATAACAGTGTAAAGGATGCTAGTCACTAATTAGCACCTTCGAGGCCCCGCTAAATATACGAATCTTAGCATTCAACTATCTAGTAGCCAGGCTAGAAAATAAAGAAGACTTGGGAATATATCTCAGCGGAAAACAAGTCAAATTAATAAAGGGCTCAAGCTTCTTCTCAATAGAAGTAGCCTCTCACGCTCCAAGGGATATATTAAAATAGTTTGAATGGCATGAGGAAGATCCGGTACGACCGTTAGTGGTAGTCTTTGTCTCTCTTTTTATAGAGACAAGGGCAGTATTTAAAAGCGCCTTGAGTTAAGAAAAGTAAGGAAGTATAGTAAACCTAGTGACTATCATCATTGGGTTGATATAATGATAATGCTATTGTGTTAATACTATTGTGAATGATGGGGTTAAACAATAGTCGGAATGTTATTGGTATCGTAATATGAGTATATCAACTTGTTATTTTCGAGTCTTCCTCAGGTTCCGGGAGCTGAGGGAGACTCGAAAATAATAGACTATGTAAGACGAGTCTCCCCGAACTGACAGCCTGCTCACTGAGCGTCACCTGAGTGCTTTGATTTGCTCACAAGCAGCCTGATCACTAAGAATGACAAGGCTCACTTTTACGTTAGGTCGAGGTGAGTACATCGGATTATTTTCTCGTACAATGTTACCACTCCTTCAAGCCAACCGGGCCAGTGCATGTCCAATGCTTGTGGGTCAATTTGTTGTTCTCGACTTCGTCAACAATGGCCACGGCCATGTCTTCATTGTAAATACCATTATGGATACCGGCTTCCGCCGATCCGGCAGAGTCATCCACGAGAAGCTCATACTGACCGGTTCTAATGCCTTCATATTGTCAGTCCGAAATCCTTTAATAATTCCATGTACTCACCTTTATCACGCAACTGCCAGGGAGGAGATAGGAAGCTCCATTGTATCTCTTTGACTCCCTCCCACATAGTCAAAGCCACTCGAGAGCAGAAGATAAGGCCGAGGGCATCCGGGTCTGTGAGTGTGGTTTTTCCCGTTCGCAACAAATACCATGCAAAAGGCCTAGTCACCCAAGAGAACCCTTCAACACGATCTGTCAGTCATCCCGAGAAATAGAAATACCGGTAGTGCGAGTACTAACAGCCCGGGTTCTCGTAATTGCTTCTAGCCCATTTAAATCCGCGAATAAACATCCCAAATCCACGCTGACTATGATCGAACATCCGTATCGCCATATAATCCAAGTGAACATCGGGCCATTGATACCTAGAAATCCATCCGTCTTAGTCAATTTGGTGGAATAAGAAACGGACCTTGAAGCTTACCAGTGGTGATATGCGAATAGATCATCGTCGCATAGTTGCACCCCTTTTCCGTAGTACAGAGAGCCCGCGCCTCCTAAAAAGAACCTCGAGTTCAGAAGTCACGCTCTCAAATAAGATTGCCCACAATGAAGCGACTTACCAATGATAATCAATGGACCACGATAGGAAGATTGCAAGGCTGCCATTTTGATGCTATTATGGCCTTCAACTCCCACTCGATAAACCATTTTTAAATCCTGCAATGGAGGACCAAACGCAGAGACAACTGTATCAAACTTTCCCTCAGAAAGAATGGTGCTAAACATTTTGATGTCACTGAAATCAACTGCAATAGACTCAAAGTGTCCTGGCCTTGGCCACGTCTTAGGCGGTGATCGGGAGATGCCAACCACTGAATGACCCCTGGATAAAAGTTCGTCGACAACACATTGTCCGCATTGCCCTTTGGGCCCAAGAACTGCAACCCGCATGATGAAGCCTTAAAAAAAGGCAGTATAGGCGACGGGAGACTTTTCCTAATTAAAGGTGGAAACGTTGATAGCCCAGTAATGGAGAATGTCTTTCAGGGTACCAGGCTCGACCGACCTTTATACCCCACAGATCTTCAACGCATTTTCTTAGTGCCCCGTCGGATCCCCACATGTACCGTCGGAACCCCACTTGTCCCACCGGCCACATGCCCCGCCGGACGCCGCAAATGACCACTCGACTTTAGCTAGCGAGATGGAGTCCATATTTATATCAGAGTACGCCTTTTTATTTATTGAAATTTATTCATTGAAGTCTGTACATATGTATATGTCTAGCCGGGAATTTTGAAAATTCGCTGTCCAACATTCACCATGTCGGCGCAATCCCACGCCTCCTTCGTGGAGGAATGTATGGAAAACAGGAAGGAAGCAGAGCAATATCTTAATTTTTGCAAAGCACTATCACCTGATAACCCCAAGGCCCGATTTACTGGATTCCATCAGCGCATTACTGTGTTCAAAAATGGACAGCAAGTCAAGCCAGGCGCCAGACACTTGCCGGTTGATATCGCCATGCACGAAAGCGTGCCGATGATCCTGTCAGATGGAGTGAAACTATACTGCGACATTTTCCTTCCCGCCAGCCTTCCACGGGATCTGAAGCAGCAGCTTGACGAAACAGATAGGGTTCCAGCTTTGGTTGCGTGGTATGTTGTGCTCGCTACGTCCCGAGCTCATCCAGGAATAAACCAGACTAAGACTTGCCAATCATAGGAGTCCGTATGGAAAGCAAATGGGCACAACTCTTTTGGATGACTTTCCCTTCCGTGCAGGCGTCCCAAAGGAGTGGCTGTCTGGACTAGAAAAGTGGGAAGGTCCCGATCCTGCATTTTGGTGTGCTGAGGGTTACGCTGTGATCAATGTTGATACTCGGGGCGCATTCACATCGGAGGGTAAACTCCTCATTTTTGGACACCAGGAAGCTCAGGATGGTGCAGAGTTTGTCACCTGGGTATCTGAACAAACCTGGTGCAATAGCAAAGTAGCATTGACAGGAAACAGTTGGCTGGCTATGGCTCAGTGGAAAATTGGCAGCCTAAGACCTAAAGGGCTCGCTGCACTTGCGCCGTGGTATGATATATTCGAAGATATCTCTGAGACTGACCTGAGTGGTACTGATACCTATTTTCAGGGAAGGTCTTCAGGATCAGTATCGTGATACATTATGCCAAGGAGGTATTCCATCGTCGAACTTCCACGACTCAATCGTTGGTAAGATTCCAGTTCCGCTGCATGGACTCTGAGTCGCATAGCCAAATATTTGGCTTCTTCAGGATCAATATTAATTGTGATCTTAGAGCCATTTGCAAGCTACAGCGAGCTTGAAGATCTGTCTACTACATTGAAGAAGACAGGCGGCCTCTGGAACCCCTACTGGGAAGACAAAAGGTCAAATCCCGATCAAATCAACGTACCAACTTATGTCGTTTCTTCCTGGACCAACCCGGTCCATACACCTGGAACCTTCCGTGCTTTCGGAATGATCCCAGATAGTACTCCCAAATGGCTGCGGGTACACAATTCCCAAGAATGGCCGGATTACTACGCAGATTCAAGTACTCGTGACCTGAAGAGGTTTTTTGACCATTATTTGAAAGGACATATTGAAAACGGCTGGTTGGCAACACCTAAAATCCGCCTAAGCATCCTTAATCTTGGCCTGTCCGGACTGGATGACACTGTGAACAGACCCGAATTGGAGTGGCCGCTAGCTCGAACTAGATACGAAAAGCTATACCTGTCTTCCAACGGCGAGATGTGTTCTTTCACACAGCAGCAGGAGCCATCCATGGCGAATTACAACTCAGCGAGTGGAAAAGTGACATTCCGTTATGTCATTTCCGAGGGAATGGAAACAACTGGATATTTCGTCGCCAGACTTGTTGTGTCATGCCCCTCTCACTCTGACATGGACTTGTTTGTTCAGGTTTGTTGCCTTGATGAAAAGACATTTTACAGACGTGGAGTCATGACCATTCGACCTAATAACTTGGTCGTTCTAAGGTTGCTAAAATTGCTTCATGATTGGCACTTCGGGCTTTCAAAGGTTGGTATGCTTTTCCATTGGGGGCCCGCTGGGCAAATGCGAGTCAGTCATTCAACCCAGAAGAGCCGAACCTCCGTACCATTTGAGCCAATTTATGAGCACACAAAGGAGATACCACTAGTCAAAGGAGAGAAGCGAGTGGTGGAAATCCCTCTGCGACCATACGGAATGTACTGGAAGGTATGTTCACATATTGGCAAGAAAAGAGCTTATCTTGATTCTAATTTTGAGTTACAGAAAGGCACTATTATGGAGCTTACGGTGTCAGGAAATCCGGTGATTCCCTTCCCTATTCCTGGTGTCAAACCATTGTATGGACAAAACGCTGGCGATCACGTCATCCATTGTTTTGATAGAGGGGAGGATAGTTCTTGTCTCATTGTGCCTAGAGTTTGAATATATTTATGCTTCCGTTCGTTGGGATCTCTAGTCTCTTAGCGACCAGTATATTACTACACTGCCATAATAGCCAGGTAGCTTCGCGAGAGCCGATCTGTTCACTTCATATATCAATTGTTTTCTTTGGATTCTGAACTCTGCGGTGCCCCGCCAGCCTTTCTGGCAACGTAACAATATCCGCCTTAACGTTTGACAAGTCAGTTGTTGTTGGGATCAATCCTAAGCGAGAACCATTATAGTCAAAATAGAAAGAGCCTTTAATAATCTGAATTGAAGAGTAATATAAAATCTACAGCTGGACGATTTAGCCGACGGGCCGATGGGGCCAATCACTAAGCCAGCCTTAAAAGTTGCAAAATAGACCACCCTCAAGATCTAAGCTACTAATTGCTCGCTTCTGACCTCTCCTAGTATTTGAAATCGAGCTGTTTTCTCTTTTCTATGCTCGCGAATTTCGACCTGACTAGTGGATCAGCTCTACAAGCAAAGGTCTAAACTAGTGCCTTAAAGGGTACCAAAATGTGCATTGGCCAAAATTGAATATCATAGCCATCGGCTTTTAACAAAAGAGATATGTTAACCTTTTCTCTTAGATTTGCGCCTGCCGAGGTGATCATTGTACTAGCCTATCTCCTGCACCACTTCAAGATGGGCTTGCGGTTAAAAGGCGGATACCTGAGTGCAGAAGGACCGATTCAAGTTGCGGTATGAAGTTCCTGGGCTTCAGGTTATATTCAAGCAGCGTTGTTGATTTTCAAGTTAGGGTTCCGGCACTTCACGTTTCCACATGGCTCACATTGCCAAATAGGGGGTTTGCATACACCTGGCCTTTTGAGTATATGTCGAGGTTAATTGGCAAGGGGCAATGAAATCGTCTAGGATAGGTCAAGAATGCACTCTAGGTTCGGTGAAAGCGGAGTGCGCCTTAATTAAGAAACGGGGCCTGCATGACCATGACTAAGCGGGGCTTCGGGTAAGTTATTCCGTCAGATCTCGGGAATGGAATAAGGCCCCCCTAGTAGCCCCTAGTACCCCCTACCCCCTAGGCCATAAACAGGAACCTTGGTTTTTGTGGTCTGGTAAAATAACCTGTATTATTTCCCACATTATCCAATAGGACCCTCAAGGGAATCACGGAACTTCAAGGTTCCAGCTCGGGGATACTGAAAAAAACAGCTTCATATACAATACCAACTCAGGTATCACTTCTGAACCCCAAAACATCCTAGACACGTATTCCAAAAATGACGATGCAATCAGCCTCCCCTCAACGACTCCTGTTCAGATGTGAACACTGTGGAATCACGTTTCAACGAAGGGAGCATCTCAACCGCCATGTTCGCCGTCACCTCCAAATGAAACCTTTCACATGTCACCATTGCGGTAAATGCTTTTCAAGACAGTGTGGCAGCCGGAATCTCTATCTCCAGTATTCCGCTAATGCGGCCCAAATAGGGACACTCTGAAGCGACACATCTTGACGCATGATCATGAACACCATGGCTTGACTAAGCGGGCTCTAAAAGCTTGTAGTGAATGTACCCGTTCCAAGCAACGTTGTAGCGGAACAGAACCATGCGATCGCTGCCATCACCGAGATCTGCCTTGTCACATTGCGAAGTCCTCTGAACCATCCAAGGATAACACCGGTGAACCCCAAAATGGGTATTTAGAATGCTCTCACATCGAGGATGGCGGTCTATCCGACCGCCTTTATTCACCATATCCAGGCTCACATCCTTCCATCGTCAGTGGAAATGATCCACTAACTCAGCATGAATTCCCCTGGATACCGCAGGATTTTGCGTTCCCATTTGGCTCGCCTTTGGAGATCTACCCTACCAATACCAGTGATGTGATGTTCGACTCTGATCGCACTGCTCTCTCTTTTGGACCGAGCACAAGCTTTTACCTCGACGAGCCGGTTGCATCGACACCTCGGCAGATGAACAGCGGCACTATAATTACACCTGAGAGTGTTTCAGATGAGCCCATGAGACAACGCGACCCTGCGACCCCTATGCGATTTCAGAGTTACCAAGCAGAACTTCCCTTTCCTAGCTTTCCCCAGTTCTCTCCAGATGACACAGATTTACTTGTTTCAGACAGCTATTGCCATGTACCAGAATTGTCTGAATTGGATTATGGTGCACTCTTAAGATTCTACCATGAGTCAGTCCCGGCCTCTGATTCAGAAAACAAAGGCAATTTTCCACGCCGCGAAGTCCTCAATGCCTTTGTGCAGCTGTACTTTGAATTCTTTCATCCAGGCTTCCACCTTCTGCACCAAGCCACCTTTCAACGTCAACAGAGGTCTTCCTGTCTCTTTCTCGCCGTTGCTGCGATAGGCGCCCAATACTCCAGGGTCACATCTCGGGGGCAATGCAGCCTTGCTCTCTTGGAGACCCTACGACGCGCTTTGCTTAATAATGTGTGTTTTCTCGTAATGTCCTCCTTTCTTTGCCCTAGTCGGATATCCTAAATTGACACATTTGTTAGATCAAGCTGGACTGCCCTCCTCAACATGATCTGCAGTTGGTTCAGGCAACAATTCTGTGTACGTTCTCTTTGTCATTTTGTGGAAGACACCATACCCTGGCTCAAGCGCAGTATTTGCGTGCTCTTCTCGTGACCATATGTCGTCCATTTACGACTCAATCTATTCTGCACAGCGGGTGGACTGCCCAGACGACCTATCCAGTCGAAGAAAGCTATTCTGCCTGGGTGGCACGGGAGTCTTGGTCTAGAGTCATATATTTTACTTGGTGTAAGATGGTCATTTGTACACTCGGTATCGTCCTTCAGATACTGATGCGTTCACTCAAACAGATATTGAATACTTACACTGGACTTTCTTTGATCTCGCTCCTTTGATCTCGGTTTCGGAGCTACATGCCTGTCTGCCTTGCGATGATGAGCTCTGGCAAAGCTCCGATCTTACTAAAACAGGGAACTTGATGCAAGCAGATACTTGTGGGTTCTTTTTTTAACATTTCCAGCCTCACCTAGATGCTTATATTAACATCCTCAGTGCCACCTCATTCACCAAGTGTTTTGGATCTCCTCGGTCCCAAGAACTCGGGTAACAAATTTACATCCTCATTGGGAAGCTCGGCATCTTTGTTTACTATGATCTCGGCGTGCGCAAAAGAGCGAAGTCTCTTCCAACTTCTGAAGCCAACACCTATGGATGGCTCCGCAAATGAGCCAGATTATGCCGCCGATGATATGTGCGCTGCTCATTCTTGCCAGACTACGATGATTGCGGAGCAAGCAATATCAAATATTGCTGGAAAGCTCCATAAATATCAACTGGCACCATATGAAGCTTCTTCCCCATTCTGGACTTTCTCTGCTATGAGAAAGATTTACTCCATATCCAGGATTTTGAATCATATCCCATATAAGCTGTTGTATGTTTCTTCTGGTTGGATGGCATCCAAGGAGGATACAAGAGCTAGCTTGGCAGATTTGGAAAAACGACTACGACACGATCCTCAGAGATCCCGAAGAACATTGACATATGCGGCACAAGTATTCCGCCGGGTTCGGAACCAAAAATGGCTCGAGGCATGCGATCCACTCTACGTGCTCCTCTCAACGCTATACATTTGGTTCTATGGACGTACATTTGAAATATCAGCAGATCCAGAGAGCGAAATGTGGCCACCGTTGAAGATTGACGATGAGTCCCTCGATGAGACTGTCTGGGTGCAATGGGTGGACACTGGTGATAGAAGACCCCATATAGCTGGCATAGGCTATTTGAATGGCGAGAACAATGTTCATCGTGTGTTAAAAGAAGCCATTCGAATACTCTCCAGTGGTCAAGGCTGGCAACACTTTGCTCATTCTGTCGCGAACTCGCTTGAACGAATATTGTCCGGTCTTGCCCCTTCCTTCAAAGATATCTAGCTGCTACCAGGAGTAAGTCAAAGAATACACCAATTAATTGCATAGCAAATTAATATTCGAAGAAACTTTCAAAAAAAAAAAAGCCAACATTCTCGATAGTATCTTTCCTGAAGACTTTCATGTATTGACGTGCTGTCCATTTCCCCCGGAAGTCGGAAAAAATAAAAATAAAAATAAACATGAGGACACATGGTCAAGGTGAATAATGATATTTATTCATGTAGACTGAAGCCCGGATAGCCCCTCAACCCTCAATTTCGGATGAGATTTGCTATATGCTGGTCGCGCGGGTGTTGGCGGCCCCTCCTCTCAATCCCTCAGTTTCCTCAATCTCCCGGGATACAAACCTCTCCCCCTTGCTTCAACTTTCCAGCATTTTATCTCGCAATGCAGCTGTATCTAATTCGCCATGCGGAAACAGTACATAATGTTGGAAAAGTCCTGTAAGGACCCATCTCTCTGAATTGGAGTTCCCACTTGACTCTGACTTTGTGTGATAGGGCGGGCACCACCGATTCGGCACTGACCAACCATGGGATGGCTCAGATCAATTGCCTTGCTCAGCATTTCGTCTCCAATTCAACTAAATTCATGACGGTGTTCTCTTCAGATCTGAGCCGAGCAAGAATCACAGCCGAGGGGGTCTGCCGTGCACAAGTTCCACCCGCGGGTGAAACACCCTTGCAACCGATATTGACACCGAATTTAAGAGAGAAAGATTACGGATCGATGGAAGGCTGCTTCTGGAAAACCCCTCCTCCTTTGCCAAGGCCGCGAGACTGGGTCATCCCTGAGACAAAAGCGTCGATGAGAAAGAGAGCTCAAGACTTTTTCGACGAACAGCTGCTTCCAATACTGATGCGTGACCCACACGGTCGACAAAACATCGCAGTTGTTGCCCACGGCATCATGCTCCAAGAGCTATGGACATATTTTATTGGGATTTTCAACCCAGCAGACACCAACATGACTACGCTTCATACGAACCCTGTCTGGTCAAACACCGGCTACATGACGATACTGATTACTCCAATCCCGACAGAAAGGACCATGCTGCCTAATGTTGTGCCAAACTTCACATTTGTTGTCCTGAGTATTGACGACAAGAAACATCTTGCCAACCTCCATCGAACTAGGGGTGGTGTCGGAGCCGCCGCTCATGACATGAAACAAAGAAAGATTGATCAATTTTTCCGATGATGGCCTGTTTAACAGAGAATATGTTGCTATGTACAAGTTCAACAATCTTTGCAATGGCCGAAAGATTTATTCTGTGTGAAACACTTCCTCCAGGGGCTTCCACCACCCTGGACCTTCCGCACTGCCCACTGCCCCGGGAATAAGGCTCTCCTAATACCAGGTGCTTCAGATTAGCGTCTGTATCTCTCAATTTTGTTTAAGTCCCCAACATACCTGCATCTCATCAGTCATAGCCCACCACTCTCTCATCTTCGGCAATGACCGCATGTTCTCCATATCAGCTTCGATGTCTGTGCCGACATACTTGAAGGTCGCGAATAAAGTCCGATCGTTATCGAAGTAGATTGAGTCTGGATCGGCGCAAATACACAACGTCAGCCAGTTTGAACATGCAGTATGTTCAAACTTAATTTTGACCTCGAGACTTACAGTCTATGATGTTGCACTCCTTGATCTTGTCGAGAATCTCAGGCCAGACATTGGCGTGACACTCTTTGTATGCTGCGACAGCGGAGGGCTTGAGGTGGACGATCTGGGCGAAGCGGCGGGCTTGAGGTTGAGCCATGATGAGATGTTCAATATAGAAGTCGAGTTGAGGTTCAAACTTTTGGAATTAGAGCAGAATGTAAGGGGGGAAAACGAGGAAATCAACTTGCCTTTTATGCTCCTCTCGCTCTAGCTTCAACCCGCACTCGGAGTGCGCTAACCCGGGGAAAGCTTGGCATCTATCCACATGCATGGAGGCTGGACTTGAATCCATACGGTCATAAATACATTATTAAAACCTGTGGATCATGATATACTAGCACATACTACATGGATGTAGTTATAGTACTAGGTCACTAACTAGTTAGTAGTTCGCTTCATCTAACCCCTCCTACCCAGATAGCCCCCACCTTCCTAATCAATTACTGTGCCCTATTAAAACTGATCCCCCTGGCAGGTCTCTTTTCTAACTCCTTGAATTTTCCTGATTACCACAATCTTGGCCTACCAGATATCAACAACAACTTATTCAAAGAAAAACAATGGCATTAACAACTCCCGAACTACCTACTTTTCGATCTCAGCCCGTCCACACTGCTAGATATTGCGACAGACTTAGTCAACCAAGTTCAACAAGCTGCGAATAACCTAGCCGACAAAGTTTCCCTGCAAAACGCGACATTTGAGAATGCTGTTCGCCCATTGGCAGCTATTGACAACGAGGTCAAAGGAAAGGTTCAATACCTAGCCCTTTTTCAGGCAGTTTCTCCTTCGCCAGAAATGCGTAAGGCATCCTCAACAGCCGTGAATATGGTGGATAAAGCATACTGGGGTGTCTTCCAAATACCCTCTCTTTTTGCCTTAGTCAATGCTGTGTATAAAAATCATGCCAAGGAAAATGTAAAGAGTGAAGATCAAAAGCTTCTCGAAAGGTTTCACTCCATGTTTATGGAAAATGGGCTTGAGCTGCACGGAGATAAGCGACACCGATTCCTTTGGATCTCGAATCGTCTAATTGAGCTGCGAGTCGCATTCATGGAGAATCTTAGCTCTGACCCTGGCTTTATGTGGAAAGAACGAGAGCTAGAGGGGATAGTCACAGAAACCCTGCAGGCATTACCTATACATCCCTCGACTAACCAAAAGGGTATCAAGCTTAAGAAGCCGAATATCACCATGGTATTGACTCGGTGTCACATCGCTGAGACACGAAAAGAGGTATTTCTTCGGAGCCAAAATATCTTCCCAGATAATCTTGAGATATTCAACGAGGCAGTTATCCTTCGGGATGAATCTGCTCGTTTACTTGGGTTTTCATCTTACGCAGCCCAGAAGTCGAGACACAAAATGATTACATCCCCCCACAATGTGGACCAGTTACTGGATGAACTTTACAATCACTTGCAACCCCTTGCGCAGAAGGAGTTAGAAATGTTACAACAACTTAAAGGGGGAGATAGAGAAAACGCGGATCACTCTTCCTCACCTCTTTATCTGTGGGATTTTGACTACTACCATGACCGTTTGCTACAAGAAAAGTACAACACGAATCACGAGCTGATTGCGGAGTACTTTCCCGCAGAGGTTACTGTTCAACGAATGCTGAAGGCATTTGAAACTATTTTCAGCCTCTCAATCACACCAATTGAAGTCACCAAGGCGCAAGTTTGGCATTCCAATGTCCGAGTCTTTAGTGTGCGAGATGAAGAATTGGCTTTTCTAGGATTTCTTTACCTTGACATTTACCCTCGAGAGGGAAAGTACAACCATGCAGCCAATTTCAACATTTATCCTGTTTGTTTTAAGTGAAATCCTATCATTGAAAAGTCTGTTTACTGACACATTGTCCAAGTCTTACACCGTGGGAAAACAGAAGCAACCAGTTGCCACCGCATTAGTATGCAATGTCTCACAGCCATCGCTAGACAAACCGGCTCTTCTACAGCATCGAGAATTGATTACTATTTTCCACGAGTTGGGTCACAGTAAGTGCGATTAACGCCAGAAACCTTGAACCTAGTAGACTGATACCTGAAAAGGCATACATGATCTCCTTGGAAGATCCAAGTATGCGATCTTTCACGGACATCGAACAGCTGCAGATTTCGTAGAAGCTCCCAGCCAATTGCTCGAATATTGGTGTTGGATTCCCCAATGTCTCCAGATGCTTAGTTGCCACTATTCTTACGTCTCTGATACACAGTGGCCCTTTACCATTGTGCAGCCTCCTAAGGAGATTCCAAAAGATATGGTCCACAGCCTTATTGCTGCTAAAGGCGTTAATCAAGGAATTCTCACTCTCAGACAACTTGCATTCAGCAAATTCGACCTGCAAATACACTGCCCTTGTTCCCACGATCTCATTAAGTCAATGCGTACTGGCGAGGTTTATAACTCGCTCCTGCAGAAAATGACACTTCTACGAGGCCCCGAGAATAGGGTAGACTGGGGGAATGGACATGTTACTACTTCACACTATATGTGGGGTCAAGAAGCGAACTATTATTCCTATCTCTAGTATGTTTTGTCGTCGTTTACACAGAGGTACATACTGATCATTAACTCGCCTCCTAGCACCCGCATATTGGCAGCTGACATGTGGCTTTCAAATTTTCACTCGAACCCAATGGGTCGTGATGCTGGTCTCCGATACCGAAAAATGATACTGGCACCTGGAGGAAGTCAAAACGAGATGACGACGCTCAAGGAATTCCTGGGGAGGTCGCCCACGCTTGACGCATATCTTCGAAATCTCGGTGCTCGTGAATAAGGCCATCAGTCTCAAATCTAGACCAGTCAGAGATTCTCATTGAATCTAATAAAGCCCAGTGAAAATATTAATTGGATAAGCATTATACTTCACTTCTGCAGTCCATTTGTCAGTGCTATTTGGCAAGCCTGAGTTTGTTGGTGGCACACAAAAGACCCGGCAGGATTGAGGTGCCAACGGCTGTAACTGGTTGATCGAAGAGTCTGTCTTATATATATGGGATGCTGCACAGGCATTGTAATAAGAAGCTCCATACACAAGCACCTGATTTGGTAAATGACCACCAACGGGTTGCGCCATGCACTAGTGTTGGGGCGTGAGACAAGGCGGATAAAGTCTGTAGACCACATCGACGTTCGATATCAGTGGATGAGATGGTGTTGGCTATGGCAATAATAGACCAATTTAGTTGAGAAAATGCTCGGCTCGGCTCGATTCAGCCAAATACAGTTTAGTCAATAACCGTATTAGGAAGGCGGAAAACAGATCGGTATCCACTCTATATTCCTTGGCATTCCGACCGTTTCACCAAATGCTCACAAGGTCGGATACCGGATTATCTGCATTTTTATACCTCATCACCCACCTCACTACCTATGGCCGATGGAACCGAACCCCAAGGGATAACCGCCCAGGGCGATCCGTCTACCCAGGAGACGACTGCCCTTGAATCTCATCCAGACTTAATGCCCCCTGTGATTAGGGGGTGGCATGCCCGACCAACCACCTGGCAGGTGGAATTTACCGCTCCAGCAAGGCCAACGCCCAGTCAAACTATCAGTCCAACTGCCAGCCAGACTGTTGGCAATATTACTAGAGCTTCGCCCCTTACAACTGAAGATGATCTCAATTTACTACGCATTGCCGTTCACTATAAAGATCGGTTTACTACGATGAAGGGTAATGCCGTTCTGTATGAGGCTATTGCGAAAGTATGGAGGGCCGATACTGGGCGGAAAATAAACCACCAAACAGTTCATAAGCACATCACTGATAAGCTGAAAGAGCATCGCGCTTTAATTTCTATACCGGAAACCAGCCGACCTAGAATGAACGCTACCGAAGCTGCTATTTTTGACCATACCAATGAGATATATGAAGTGCTACGAGAGAAGTCAGTAGCAGAGGCACGACGAAAGCGACTCGTTGATGAATTAATACCACGAGGGAGGGATAAACGGCCTAGAGAACCGGAAAATTCTAGGGAGGAAGGTATGTTAAAATTAGCATATTTATACTGTATTTTACTAATTATAATATAGAAAGTGAGCGTCCAACAGCTCGGCCACGACCACTATCTCCCTCACTAGCACCCGCCTCGCCATCACTACAAACAGAAATGGCCTTATTTCTTAGTATGATGAATAGTCGAGCAGCTATCGAGGCCTCAACTGGGGCTAAAAAGGAAGATATCACTAGGCTTGAAGCTCGAATTGATAGCATGGCTGCTACTATGGAGGGGATGATGGCTTTGCTTAGAACCCTTACCCCGTGGCCTCCAAGGCCCAATTAAGCTTCATTTCTATATAACCCGCTTTATACTGCATTGTAACCTGAGATAATTCGATTTAAGCCAGATCGAACAGTTATCTCCTATGAGTGTAGGTCTTTATATCAGTGAATAACACAGCTATCAAATACTCAGCTCCAAGTGGCCACCAACCACTACGCTAAGCTGCCCTTAGCTCTTTATGCATATTGACCAGGTGTCCAAATCTCCTCAATCCAATGCCTTTTAGCGATTAATTCCAAGTAAAAAAAAAGAAGACAATTCCATAGGAAGTGCTCTTCATATAACACTATGCATGAATTAAATTCAACTAGATTGTGCTTAAGGCGCAGAGTTTTACATACCGCAGAGCACAAGTGTAGAGACGGCCTTGATTACCCAGCGCATTGGGGAATACAGTATATTCAATGGATTACACATAGAGACTTGAATGTATCGCAAAATAGCAGTAGATCAAATTGGTATCCGTAATTATAAAAAGCACAAAAAATTACTCTCATGACAGCATCTGACTCTTAGGAACAGGGCGAATCCAGGAAACGGCCATATTAGCCGCCATAGATATAGCACCGATGATCCACAGGGATTGCGCGTAGTCTGACCCGTTGTATCTGAAGATAATAGCAAAGACGATGCCTCCAAGGTTACCGAAACCACCAACAATTCCAGAAACAATGCCATTAGCAAAGGGATGCACATGAGGCACAAGAGCAAAGTTGGCTCCATTCGAGGCCTCAAGGAAGAAAGCTAGTCCAGCGATAAGACCGAACATAGCCGCCTCCGTGGACGGGTTCGATAATCCGATCGCAAGCTGGAAAGCTCCCATCGAGACTCCCAAAAAGGTGATCAGAAGCTTCTTGGACCAGACTTTGTCTGTGTACCGGTAAACCAAGTCACCGAATAGGCCACCCGCCGGTCGGAAGACAACATTCAGGAGGCCGAACATGGCAGCCCACTGTCCTGATTTTGTTTGGTCCATGTGTGGGAAGTTCTCTGTGTAGTAAGATCCCAGGATGGAGTTGATTGCAAGCTCTGCGCCAAAGGAGCAAGCGTAGGGAATTGCCACAGCCATGGTGGATAGACTCAGAGCCACGCTCAGGGCTTCTCGGCGAGTTGGGGAGACGACTGTCTCTTGTTTGAAGAGGTCCATCTGGCCCATTGTGGATGTATCGGCGTCCGAGACTTGTGGTGTCTGGACACCTTTCTTTTCGATGTCGGTTGTTGCAGCGTTGTAGGGGGTCGTCATTCCGCTAGTAAAAGTGCTAGCGTTGATGTCGACGATGTTGCCGTCGGCAGTCACGGTGGTACCAGTGGACTCTTTCGCCCAGAGGTGTCTCTCGGACCACTTTCCTGTTGGTGTATCCTCGCAGAGGAACAACATGCATAGCGCAACGAAGGTGATGATGATGAATGGGACGACGTAGGCGACACGCCATGCTTTGTGAGAAGGGAGGCCGCTGGAGTGGACGAGAGAGTCGTAGATGGCGGGCATCAAAAAGCTGAATTGATTTGTTAGGATATTCATAGGATGAAAAGGAGAAAAAGTGAACACCTACTAGGTGATACCTCCACCTGCATTGCCCCAGCCTCCGGCGAGGGAATTGGCAGTACCGACAATACTCTTGTCGAAGAAACCAGTGCACCAGACCTGGCATGGGACGAAGGTTCCTCCCAGAATTCCGATGAAGAATCGGAGGGCAATCAGGCCCTTGGGACCGGTAACCAGACCAGCCATGGCGGTAGGAATGGCTCCGCAAAAGAGTAGTCCCACAAAGACCAAACGTGGGCCATAGCGATCACAGAGTGGCCCTGCAACAAATCGGACGAGTAGGCTGTAGAGGTCAGAGGGGTATTTCTTTGATTGATTCCATAGTCTGATACTTACGTTGCTAGAAGTGCGACGATGTTTGAGTTGGCGACATCTGCCTGTGTCATATTCAAGTCTTTTTTGATGGTCACACTCAACTAGAAAGCCGGCTGGGATTAGAGACTGTGACTTTTCTTCGTATATCAAACATTTTGCAATTGTATCATGAACTCACCAGTGGTGGAAAGGCGTACCATGACAGGAATGCCACCATGAAGCCGAGCCATGAGAAGAAGAATACCCGTCCATATTGATCGAAGGGGTTCAATACGGGGATAGATTTGGCTTTGCGGGTACTTGGGTTGATTTCAGGTGATACAAAGAGACGTTTAACAAAGTTGGTTGCCATTTTGGTGGCCTCTTTGTATAGTCGAGCGTTTTGAGGTAGAGGTAGGCTCGGGAGCTGATATTCTAATAAAAAAAAGTCTCTGATAGTTTGATATAGCTTTGATGATTAAAATTAAACAAGAGTTGTTTTGGAAATTTAGGAGAAAGATGCAAGTTGAGAAATGAATATACCTTGGTATCTATATAGACGTTTATTATGCTTTGTTTTTGGTGAAGCATAGATCTCAGATGTATCATGACACATGGAACAACAATCAGTCTGATATTCCTGCTGCATATCAAGTTGTCCAATTATCGTAGGTAGCTACGTGCTGTCAGTCAAAAATGGTTAGTCAAGAATTACTACCGAGTATATCTCGGGTCGCTGATTTGATACGCAAGGACAAGGTTACCGCAAGGATCATCAGATCCTTGGATGGTAAACTTACTTTTTGCCTCAGACTTCCTGAATCTTCCGCTGTATCCCGCAATATAATTCTGATAGAGATAAGGTATGCATTCGAACGACCTATAACAGTTTAGGATGTATAATATGCCAAGTGCCATGATTGGAGGGAAAGTCTGATGGTATGAACCAATCTACTTCATGTAACTCCGCGGACCTTCAATTGACGGATTCGAATTTACATCATACAATTATACTGAGTCTGGGGTGGACCTTTAGCTCTACGGTGGCCAGAAATTCATATCGTTGATAAACGCAAGCCTCCTCATTGGATGCCAAGCCAACCGAGATAGGGACCGAAGAACGAGCTCAGCCCGGCGGGTCTTGACATTAATGTCGATCTGATACCAGGAGCTCCGCGGAAATACTTAAATCAAGTGGCTCCAGTTCATTCCCGGCCTGGGGGTGAACCCTGATGAACCAAGATCTAGTACTCCGTATCGTCCACGCCAAAGTTAGGGCTTCTGTCTTCAGTATAGTAACGCAAGCGATTCCTAAAACCACTCTAGATGGGTCTTTTTTTTTTTTTTTTTTTTTTTGCATATTTTTAGTACAACATATGTGCGAAATTCTATCTCCACGGGACACTGAGATAAGAGATTTCGACGTTGACTGTGCGAAGAACCTTCCAAGGCTGGAATCCATGGATAGGCCGGATAGCAGTTCCAAGGTTCGAAGGTTCCAAGGTTTGCGCATCCGCTGATTAACCTAGTATATTAGTTATATTAGTTATACCGGGGTAAATAGATATTTAATACCATAACTTAGGAAACTATTCATAGGGCCAGTGCGACAAGATCCGTGGCCATTGTTGGTTAATATCTCCAATGCCGTGGAAGTGAAAAAAAAAAAAAAAAAAAAAAAAAATAGATGCTCCACCAGAGGTTAAATTTAAACGTTTAAATGAAGAACTAGAGAAATAAATAATAATCTAGAATCGAAAGATGTATCTAACAGAAGACTTCATGGTTTAATATCGTGGTAGATGATCCAGTTGATGCTTGTAGATATGTATTGAGGTCACCGTTTCTCATATATTGAAGCATGAGATCTTCCCTATAATGATCTACCATCTGAGCAGGCCTCTTATATGGTCTAACCACGATATATACTCGCGTCTTTGGCAACATTTACATAGATCTAATCTTCTATTGTTTGGGGAATAAATAATGAAGCAAGTTCATGTAAAGCTCATATATTCTCATAATGCCATTAATTATCTTGATCCCATACGCCAACCTGTTCCATCACAAAATGCTAAAGAAATCGACATACCACCTGACAACTACCAATCAATCGACTTGGCTGGCTGCACAGCTGGGGCACGAGTCAAGAAACCATCAGTAATCTTCTTCCCCTTCATACCCTTGAACTTCTTATCAACCTTATGGAACGGATCCTCCGCTTCACCCTTACGAACTTTCCACTTCTCCGTCCCCAAAATCGAATCCAACTCCTCAATCGGCGGCAGTTTGATATACACCCAGCCATCATCCCTCTCCTCAACAGGGAACGTGGCGATATTCATGCTCTCATCGTTTGAGCACCGACCCGCCTGCTCACCATTGAGCTCGAAGTTGCGCTTGTGATACGGACACGACACCCAGTATTTTCCAGCATCGTCATCACCGACAAGGCCATCAGAAAGAACGAAAGCTCGCTTGTGCGGACACATCTGCTGCGTCGCATAGAACTTGCCCTTGATCTTAAAGACAGCAAGCTGCGTGTCACCGCGCTTGACATTCGCCGATGAGACTTGAGGTGGCTCGTCGGAGAAATGATCTGCTCGGACAACCGGCTGCCAGGAGACACTTGACCACTTGTGACCTTTGAAATCTTCCCGCTCGGCAGAGTCCTTGGGCCAGTATGTGGGTCGTTGCTGCGATCGTTCTTGGACAACTTCGACTGTGTCGACAGTTTCGTCTGTGTTTGCAAATTGCTGGAAGACCTTGCGGCGTTTGGGGTCTTTGACGGTCTCAGTCCACTCGCAGAAATAGCTATCGACGAGTTCGTGCATTTGCCTTTCCATGTCGGCGCAGATTCCGAGTTTATCATCCACGATCACTTCTTTGAGGTATTTGATTCCGCCTGGGAGGTTTTCGATCCATCGTGCTGTTCGTTGGAGTTTGTCGGCGGTGCGGATGTAAAAGATCAAGTAGCGGTCGATTATGGGCATCACCATATCTGCTGGTACGTCTGTAACAAGCAGTTCGGCATGTCTGGGCTTTGCGCCTCCGTTGCCTCCAACGAAGATGTTGAACCCAACCTCAGTGGCAATGAGTCCGAAGCTGGCAGTCATTAGTCCCGAATGCTTTTAAACCATCGTGGGAAATTCTTCACTCA